GTGATAATTTTTGGCTTGTGTGTTACTAGAAGTAAGCATGAAGGAGATGGAAGTAGTTTTCAGATAAGGACAGTTACCTCATTTTGTAAATGAAGAAACTAATCCCAAAGAGGACTGACTATCAGAGTACACACTCTAAACATGGGAGGACAAGATATTAGGCATCACTTGTCCATCTCTCACAGACAAGTATCTAACCATATAAACATATAAGAACAGACATTAGTTCCTTATTGTCTGAAAGAAAAGGCTATAGATGCAAACTGTAAGAGAAGGGGCAGGCTAGGAAAGGGACAGTTGAGTTTCTCAGATAAAAGGGAGCATGCTGGGATATGCAGTATTCAGTCACTAAGTGGCAGATGAAAGTTCAGTGGAAATAGAGGAATCAGAACAGGATATATCTTCTCCAGAAAAACAGAGATAGAAGGGGTGGGTTCAAGGAAGCCACAGTTGTATTCTCTAATTGGGCACAGCCAAGCATGTTTACTAGTTGAGGGCATCTAGGAAACCAAGGGTTAAACCCTCATATAAGCTATCTCTACCTTTCCCTACTAAGTACTGGGTATAAAGTGACAGGGCACACTAGGTAAGGAAAGGTCAAGTTCAAGATAGAAAGTGTTCCCAATTCCACAAGAACAGCCTCTTTGGAGTTAATCAGAAAACAATTTCCAGACACTGGAAGCATAAATTTCTCAGTCATTGCAGAATGCACACACCTATGACCCACTAATTTCCTTCCCAGCTTCATACAATAAAGCACTGGTTTTCAAGCTCTGGGAGATGACATACTCACTGGTTGAAAAATCAGTTTAGTATATAGGTACAAGTATTTCTTTAATTAGAATGTAGAATAATACAAAAGAAAATTCCAAGCACAACACAGTAATGAGGGTGTTATTTCATGAAACAAAATCTTAGATGCATAAAATTGCTGGCTATATATTCACACACATACTCTCCAGGTATCCACAAGGTTCACTCCCTCAAATGCAATTTTCCCAGTGAGATCTTTCCCTTTCTACCGTATTTAAAAGCAAACTATCCCTGTGATATGTTTTCCTATTTTTCTTTTTCTTCACAACATTTATCATGATGTGTCTCTCCTTTGCAGAAGTGTTTTCTTGATAAGTAAAGCTGCTGGCAGCTCTACACACAAAAACTAACTAACTGATCTATGGTGATGTTCCAATACATGCTAGAATTGGTTTTCACTAGCCTATTTTGGAACAAATGATCATTTCTAGATCGATACAAACATGGGACAAGGAAGAGATGTTACCATCTGAGTTAAATGCCAATTCTGTGCTTATAAGGGAAGGTTCTATTACTAGAAAAATGTAGAAAAGTTCCACTGAGTAAACAAAAGCAATAACCTCTACATATGCATTTAAGTTCATGATATGTATACCAAACCAACAAGAAAAAAGGTGAATTAATCAAACAGTGCAGGGACAACTGGCCATTTATTTGGAAGAATACAGAATTGCTTATCTCACACTATATGTAACAAGAAACATCACAGAGGGCTACACGAATAATTAACATAATGTGTACTTCATATATATCAAAGGAATTATACCTGCCACAGTGCTCAATTCCAAAAAGGAAGGTTGGGCAATCTATTTTCATACTGATATCGCCTTGGAAACCCAAGGGGGGGGGGGTAGCTGTGAGTTGGATCCAACTCAACGGCAGCGTTTTTTTTTTCATTTTTTTTTTTAATGCCAATACAGAAGCACAATAATGCAGAAACGCTTAACTTTCAACTAGTGGTATGACTGTATTTTTCTTTATTTCTAATACCTAGGCTTTTAGATGACAATTTGTAGAAACAAAAAACACTGTGCTGCTCGATCTCTATTTGCTCCACCTTCCCAGACCTTCTCTCCATCCTTCACTGTGCTTATGTGGGCTCCCCTGCTGATGACATCTGGTTGGGTTCTCCAGAGATGCACCAATAATTTGGTACCAAAATTCTGGCAGTAACAGTATCTCCTACTAGGTGAACCCCACTCTATGACAACAGCTCTCATTGGACTTGAGTAAAACTGTTTCCATTCTTTGCCCCTTTAGGCCTAAGAACAGAACAGTTGCCTTTAGGTGCTTCAGTATCCCTTGTTTCTGACCCATTTCCATTGTGGTCAACTCAATTCTGACTCTTAGTGACCTTTTACCTCTGTAATAAGTCTTCATTAAAATCTTTTTAGTTGGATACAAATAAACATCCATGTATCAACTTGTCCACACACAAAAAAATTCTTCCCCCAAAATGCTATATAGAACATTAGCCCAAAAAAGTATTCCTCTGTGTCAGTTAGGAGCTTTGGTGGCATAGTGCCTACAGCATTTGACTGCTAACCAGAAGGCTGGTGGTTCAAACCCACTAGCCACTCCTCAGAAGGAAGATTGGGAAAGCTACTTCCGTAGAGATACTGGGCTTGGAAACCCAAGGAGAGGTTGCTATGAGTCAAACCAACTAGACAGCAGTGAGGTTTTTTGTTTTTTCCTGTGTCAGTTGAAATGCTTTCAGCTCTATGAAACAGAAAGTCCTAAGAACAAATAAGTAACAGTTACTGTTGCCAGTAACACAAAGGTTCCAATAGAGAGCAAAATGAGTAAGTTGAGAAGCTCAGCACCATCACCTTTGGGCCAAGTTTTTCTAATCTTGTGCACCTGGGGTCCCCTGCAAATGACATCTGGTTGGTTTTTCCAAAGAGAAGCACCAGTAATATGGTACCAAAATGCTTGTAGTGACAGTATCTCCATTAGGTAACCTCTATTCAGTGACAGCAACTCTCATTAGACCCAGGGTAAAACTGTTTTCATCCTTTGCCCCTTTAGGCCTAAGAATAGAACAGCTTGCTTCTAGGTGCTTCAGTGGCCCTTGTTTCCGGCCCACACCTGTTGTTGCCAAGTCATTTCCACGTTCTTGCCCCACAGGGCCACAAGCTACAATATGCATCATGTTGTTGTTGTTGTTATGTGCCGTCGAGTCAGCCCTGACTCATAGCGACCCCTCCTTGGGTTTCCGAGGCAGTATCACTACGGAAGTAGGATTGCCCAACCTTCCTTCCGAGGAGTGGCTGGTGGGTATGAACCGCCAGCCTTCTGGTTAGCAGTCAAGTGCCTTAGCCACTATGCTACCAGAGCTCCAGGCAATATGCATCATAGATGTGAAAAAATCCAGCAGAGGGACAATTTCATTTCATGTCTCTTTTAATCACTGAGATCTTTCCCAGAATTATTGCAGAGTATTTTCCCAAATCTTATTGCTCACATGTCCATCCCAAATCAATAATTAAAATGGAATTTCAATTATTAGGTTATACTAATCTAGATTTACCCCCTAAATTATCTGCATGAAGGATGGACAAAGACAAAACAGAGCCCAGAAAGAAAAAGCAAGGAATGGTTGTTGGGAAAGCAGTGTCCCTTAGAACTGCTTACCAATGCATTTCAAGGAAGTATAGGAAATAGTACAAAGGAGGCAGGGACAGAATATGACACTCTATAATATTAAATATAAATACATAGTTCTGGATTACATACATCATGCCTAAATAGATACTATAATGAAATAGCAAGAATATTAAAGAGGAGTTTCATTAACTATCACCAGGTACTTTTTATTTGTAGAGTACGATATCATAGCTCATAACTGATGTTAACTGATGCTAACCTTCACATAATTTACATAAATACTGTTCTTATTAATAGCATTCACACTATTGATTAATACAGCAGCAGATGAAAAACCTCAGAAAAACATTGCTTGGTTTCAGTTCAGTAATGGCTACATTTATTTATTTTTGCCAGGAAACAGGAAATGTAGGTAATGTGGTTCTTTATGAAATAATATTTCACTTAATACATATTGGCCAACCTATGAAGAGACTCTAGTAGTATTTATAATAGGACTGATCCAAAGGTACTTAAAAATTACAAAAACACTTCTTGGCTTATTTACTGATAAGTAATAATGGCCATAGCCATTTATTTATGCCAAGAAATGGGAGAAGTCTATAGTTTCAATTTGCCAAATATATTCATACATACACAGTGATGTTCTTGTAAATGTTTGACAATATATTCTCTGGGAAAATAAAAAACTTGATCTGTAGAGTTTGCCAAAGTCCATAGTGTACATATTGCCTACTAATGACAATTTCAAGCTATCAACAAGACACCACCATTATATACCATTTTCATCATACAGAATCAACAATGTAAGTAACCAAGAGAGCACAAATAATAGTAAAATAACAAGGAAGTGATGAGTGTTGAGTATTTAATACTTTTGTTTTTTTAATATAACTTTTAATAATGACTTAACAACTGGTTCACAAAATTCCTGAAAAATTAGCAATCAGCACTTGCAAGCCAGTAGGAGCTGACTCTAGCATATCATTGCATGTGTATGTATAAATATATTTACATATATATGTATATTATTATATGATGCTATAAAGACACTGATGGTATTTAGTGAGAAATGTTATCATGTATCATAATAGTTACTAAACTAATGGTTCATATGTCTCCTCACAATCATGTTGGGCTCTAATATGTAAATCAACCATATCCCAAATTTGTTACATTTGTCTACTCACACAAGGCCTATAAATATCAGAGACTCTCCACAGATGTTTAATGCTGTTATCATTCAACATTTTTTAAGCTTCAGATTCCACTGTGAATATGGGTATAAATAAATATCTATTATATTTACAAAGGAGCTCTCGTGGTGCAGTACCTAAAACATTTGACTGCTAACCAGAAGGGTGGCGGTTCAAACCCACCAGCCATAAAATTTTGGTATCACATCTCAAATATGACACTACAAACATAAATTCTGAATAAAAATTTTTACATTACTTACATGAATAGGTTTCTTTCCCTCAGTACAAATTTTCTGATGAAGTTTTTTCTTAAAAGCTTTGGTTTTAATCTAGTATCAATTATATAAAATACAATGATATGTAATTTCTTAGTAATCTGGAACTTTCTTTGGATTTCTATAATGTCAATTTTGAAACTGCGAAACAACTTTGACAATTGGATGAAGGCTTCCAAACATTCAGGATGCAGAGATGGCTTTCATCCTTGTGTGAATTCTCTGATGTTTAGTGAGTACTGACCTCTGGCTAAAAGTTTTTCCACATTCATTACACTCATAAGGTTTCTCCCCTGTATGGGTTCTCTGATGTTTAGTGAGAGCTGATTTTTCACAGAAGGTTTTCCCACACTCATCACATTTATAGGGTTTCTCCCCTGTGTGAGTTCTTTGATGTACAATGAGGTTTGATTTCACACAGAAAGATTTCCCACATTCATTACATATAAAGGGTTTCTCACCTGTGTGCGTTCTCTGGTGTACAGTTAGAGCTGACCTGTGGCAGAAGGACTTCCCACATGCATTACATTCATAAGGTTTCTCCCCTGTGTGTGTTCTTTGATGTTCAGTGAGGTTTGACTTCACGCAGAATGTTTTTCCACATTGCTTACATTCATAGGGTTTTTCCCCTGTATGCGTTCGCTGATGGTTGGTAAGGTGAGGTTTCTGGCAAAATGATTTCCCACATTCAGTACATTCATAGGGTTTCTCTCCTGTGTGTGTCCTCTGGTGCTGAGTGAGGTTAGACTTCTCCCAGAATGTTTTCCCACATTCACCACATTCAAAAGTTTTTTCTGAGTGAGCTCTCCGAATTTGGGTAATATGTGATTTTTTGCTGAAATGATTCCCATTTTTATTGTATTCATAGGATTTTTCCTCCATTTGTACTATCTGATGTTTAAAGAGGGTAGATTTCTCCCAAGTTTTGTCACTTACTTTATATTCCTGGTCAATCTTTCTTGTGTGAGCTCCCTGATGAATAATGAAAGTCGAATCATCACACAAGATGTCCCCATATTCATTATACTCATAAAGATTCACCTCTCTAACAGCATTGTGATGTCCAAATCTTAAATCCATATAGAAGGGCTTCCCACAAATACTGCATTCATATGGCTCCATTTCCAAATGAGTTTTCTGAGATATACTGAGCTTTAAACTTTGGATGAAGGCTCTTCCACATTCATTATATTTAGAGGGTGTCTCTCCTGTCTGAGCTCTCTTATTTGTAAAGGCTACCCCCCCATGTAAGTCTCTCTCATTCTCCTTATACTCAAAAGGTTGGTCAAAAACTGACTGTGTGAGATCTCTGCTTTGACTGAGAACACTCCTTTTTTGATTATAAGATTTCTCTCCAGTAGGAATTTTATCATGTCTAATATCAAGGAGCAATTTCTCACATACATTAATTTCATCAGGCTTCTTTCCTGAAGACTTTTTACTAATAATTAGACCTGAAATATTTTTCAAACTTATTTCACATGAGTCACATATTCTATAGGGACTAGTTCTTGAAAGAACAGGGTCTGTGGTCAGGTTGAAAGTTTTCACTGCTCTACTATCACTCTCTTCACTTAATGTTTTGTTGTTGGTGAATAGAAACTGCCAAAAATGTTCATCTTGGTTTTCCTGGCTTCTCTCCAACAGGTCATTAAATTTCCAGTCCTCTAGAAATGAGAAAAATAATGATGTTTGATTTCACACAGAAATCTTAGGAATCTTAATACATTTCTAATGGGATTGAAGTTTTATACAAATGTCCTATTATATAGTTGACTCTGCTGTTTCCTGGTCTGAATTGAACACAAGCATGTATTTCTTCTATTGCCCTGGTTTGAGCAAAGAAAAAACAAAAAAAAACAAAAAACAAAACAAAAACAAAAACAAAAAAGCAATGTTGCAGTGGAAACAGTGAGAGAAAACTGGCAATGACCACACATACATTTAACACTTTATAAATACAACTTTCAAAACTAGATAGAAAAAAAAGGAAGCTAAAATTCAAAGTACCAGAAACTACAGAGTGGCTGATTCAGATGTAGGGAAACTCAAACGTGGGGTTAGCCCAAAAGAGACAATGATCGCTGAATAAAGTGACAGCAAGTATTAGTAGACAAAAGGTATCAGAGGATAAACTACATTTGATGTACACAGAACAGATTAACTTATACATAGACAACTGGGGTAAGAGTCCCCTTTAGAGTACATGCTGCTTTTCTATTCTACACATCAAGACCAAAATAAAATTCTGAAAACATCAACTTTCTCAGGTTCATAAGAATGGTCCTATAGGCCAGGATCTAATTTTCCCTTTAACTTAATTCACTAGGAATACTTTGTATACCAACTAGATTCACAGGAAGCATTCAAGCCACCATTTCCACAAGTCTATTAAAGTATCTTCTAACCAAGTATTTAGTCTCTCATAAATTTTTCATTTGCAACCACATGCATTTCACACAATTAATTGCAGTCCACTTTGGGTCTACTTGGAAATCAGACATTTCTTCAGTGAAATGCCACTTTTTTTATAATTAAAATGCTTTCTTTCTTTTATTTATACAAAAAAAGTTAATAACAACAATGAAAGAGCAAAAGCCAAAATGTATTTTAAAATACTCCTACCATTTGATAGCTTTCACGCCCACCATTAGAATTTACTGTCTGCATTATTCATTTCAATGTAAAATCAATCCCATTTTCAATGCTATAGCCTGTCATGGCCACAGTGGGGTTCTTGGCAGATGTTATTAAAATCTCATTGCCTTTTACAAGGAAAAAAACATACAGTACATCAATGACTGCAAACAGCAAATGCAGGTGAATTATTTACAAACTGCAGTTGAGGTACAATACATTAGCATAAAATACAAGATCTTGAATTTAGAAATATGAAATGCTTTCTGAATGAATGAAAAAGAATTATCTCTACTAAACTCCACAGTTAACAACAAAGTAATTATTACATAAAAGAATTAGGAAAAATAAGATGGTATTCTCTTCTGGAGAACAAAATCTTTATAGGAACAAACAAACAAAAAACCCCCACAGGAAACAGGTCTGAAATTTGTGGAATACAGCCACTAAATAATCATAAAATATGGGCTATTTAAGTTACAGCAAAATGGAGTAAAGCTTTTGGGACCTCAATTTAGTGATGTGGCACAACTCAAAGTGGGAAGAAAGCTGCAAACATCCATTAATAATCAGAATGTGGAATATATGAAGTATGAATGTAGGAAAATTAAGTGAAATGGAACACATAAAGATTAATAACGTAGGCATCAGTAAGCTGAAATGGACTGTTTTTGACAATTATGAATCAGACAATCATATGATCCACTATGCTGGGAATGACAAATTGAAAAGGAATGGTATTACATTAATCGTCACAAATAATGTTTCAAGATCTGTTCTGAAGTACGATGCTGTTAGTGATAGGATAATACCCATAAGCCTACTAAGAAGGCCAGTTAATACTATTATTCAAATTTACACATAAACCACTAAAGCCAAAGATGAGGGAATTTAAGATTTTTACCAACTTCTTCAGTCTGGAATTGACCAAACATGCAATCAAGATGTCCTGATTATTACTGGTGACTGGATTGAGAAAGCAGGAAACAAGAATCGCCAGTAGTTGGAAAATATGCCCTTGGTGATAGAAATAATGCCAGAGATCGTATGATAGAATTTCGCAAGATGAACGACATATTCATTGCAAATATTTTTTTTTTTTAACAACATAAACAGTGGCTATACATGTGGACCTCACCAAATGTAATACACATGAATCAGATCAACTACATCTGTGGAAAGAGGTGATGGAGAAGTTCAGTATCTTTAGCCAAATCAAGGCCAGGAGCTGACTGGAACAGACCATCAATTGCTCATTTGCAAGTTCAAGCTGCAGCTGAAGAAAACTAAAACAATTCATATGAGACAAAATATGACCTTGATTATACGCTACCTGAATTTAGAGAACAGTTGATCAACAGATTTGATGCACTGAACACCAAAGAATGAAAACCAGATGAATTGTGGGATGACATCAAAAACACCATACATGAAGAAATCATACATAGAAAGACAGGAAAGGAAGAAAAGCCCAAAATGAACATCAGAAGCGACTCTCTGAAACTTGCTCTTGAATGGAGAGTAGCTAAAGCAAATGGGAAATGACAAGACAAAAGATCTGAACAGAAGATTTCAAAGAGCAGCTTGAGAAGACAAAGATAATTATTATAATGAAATGTGCAAAGATCTGTAGTTAAAAAAACTAAAGGAGAAAAATACACTTGGTATTTCTCAAGCTAAAAGAACTGAAGAAAAAATTCAACCCTCAAGGAGCAATACTGAAAGATTCTACGGGCAAAATACTGAATGATGTAGAAAGCATCAAAAGAAGACGGAAGGAATACACAGAGTCACAGCACAAATAAGACTGGTCCATGTTCAAGTATTTCAGGAGGCAGCACATGACCAAGAACCAATGGTACTGAAGGAAGAAGTAGAAGCTTCCCTGGAGGAATTGGGGAAAACAAGGCTCCAGGAATTGACAGAATACCTATTGCAATGTTTGAACAATCAGATGCTGTGCTGGAGACATTTACTTGTCTATCCCAAGTAATTTGGAAGACAATTACCTGGCCAACTGACTGGAAGAGATCCATATTTGTACCCATTCCAAAGAAAGGTGATCCAACGGAATGTGGATATTATTCAACAATATCATTAATAGCACATGCAAGCAAAATTTTGCTGAAGATACTTCAAAAACAGTTGCAGCAGCATACTGACAGGGAACTTCTGGAAATGCAAGCTGGATACAGAAGTAGACGTAGAACGAGGGATATCATTGCTGATGTCATATGGATCTTGCCTGAAAGCAAAGATTACCTGAAAGATGCTGACTTGTGTGTTATTGCAAAAGCAAGTCAACCGTGTAGATTATAATAAATTACAGATAACATTGAAAAGAATGGGAATTCCAGAACACTTAATTGTGCTCATGAGGAACCTATACATAAACCGGGAGGCTATTGTTTGAACAGAACAAGGGGATACTGCATGGTTTAAAATAAGGAAGAGAGTGTGTCAGGGTTGTATCCTTTAACTGTACTTATCCAATATGTATGCTGAGCAAATAATCCGAGAAGCTGGACTATATGAGGAATAACATGGCATTAAGATTGGAGAAAGACTCATTAACAACCCATGATATGCAGATGACACAACTGTGCTTTCTGGAAGTGAAGATGACTTGAAGGACTTACTGATGAAGATTAAAGACTACAGTCTGCAGTACGGATTACACTTTAATATAAAGAAAATGAAAATCTTCACAACTAGACCAATAAGCAGCAATCGCAACAAATGGAGAAAAGTTAGAAGTTGTCAAAGATTTCCTATTATTTAGATCCAAAATCAACATCCATGGAAGCAGCAGTCAAGAAATCAAACATCGTATTGCACTGGGAAAATATACTGCAAAAGTCCTCTTCAATGTGTTGAAGAGCAAAGATGTCTCTTTGAAGACTAAGGTGCATCTAACCCAAGTCATGGTATTTTCAACAGCCTCATATGCATGTGAAAGCTGGATAATGAATAAGGAAAACAGAAGAGTTGATGCTTTTGAGTTGCGATATTGGTGAAGAATACTTGAAAGCACCATGGGCTGGCAGAAGAATCAACAAATCTGTTCAGGAGGAAGTGCAGCTGGACCATTCCTGGGAAGTGAGAATGGCAAGACTTCATCTCACTTATTTTGATCATGTTGTCAGAAGATATTCCTCAAGAAGGATATCATGCTTGGTGAAGTGGAGTGTCAGCCTAAAAGGGGAAGACCATCAACGAGATGGACTGATACAGTGGCTCAAGTATAGTTAAGATTATGAAGACAGCACACGACCGGGCAGTGTTTCCTTCTGTTGTACACAAGTGTCTGTTTGAGTCAGAGCCATTTCAGTGGCATCTAACAACATGTGAAAGTAAGCAGCAAAAGACACATGGGACCTCACAAAAATGAAATACTTTTATTCATCAAAAGACTTTATCAAAGCAGTGAAAATATAAACTATAGACTGGGAGAAAAATTTGGGGAACCATGTACCTGTAACAAAGCTCACTGGCAATTACTGAAAATAGCATGGACAGCCAGAACAAAGAAAACTGCCCTGGATGAAGTGCAGCCAGAATGCTCCTGTAAGTGAAAACTGCTAGATTTCACCTACCTACTTTGATCATGTTGTCAGAACGAACCATTCCCTGGAGGATACCATGCTTGGTAAAGCAAAGGATCAATGAAAAAGGGAAAGATCAACCCTCAATGAGATGCAGTGACACAGTTGCTGCAACAAAGGGCTCAAGCATAGCAAGGATTGTGAGGATGGTGCATGACCGGGCAGTGTTTCCTTCTGTTGTGCATAGGGTTGCTATGAGTTGGAGCTGACTTGATGGCACCAAACAACAATAATATCTAAAATACATAAAATACTTCTAGAATGTAACAACAAAAAGAAAACAATCCAATGAAAAAAATGAGCTAAGGATTTGAAAAGATATTTCACCAAAGAGGATATTTAAATAGCCAACCCAAAATCATTACTGTCAAATAGATTCTGACTCAGCGACCCTACAGGGCAGAGTAGAACTGTCCTACAAGGTT